CTCTAGGACGCCGGCGCCCCGCACACCCACCATGGATCTGCTGCTGGTGGTGAACACGAGCCTGGGCTCCCCCCCAACGAGCCTGGCGCTGCCCCCCTCCTCTCCGTCCTCCTCTGCCCTCCTGCAGCCGCCCTCCCCCTACTCCCCGGCGGCCGTGGCCGGCCTGGCGGCGGTGGTGGGCTTCCTCATCGTCTTCACCATCGTGGGCAACGTGCTGGTGGTGATAGCTGTGCTCACCAGCCGGGCGCTGAGAGCCCCCCAGAACCTCTTCCTGGTGTCCCTGGCCAGCGCGGACATCCTGGTGGCTACCCTGGTCATGCCTTTCTCCTTAGCCAACGAGCTTATGAATTACTGGTACTTCGGCAAAGCTTGGTGTAACATTTACCTGGCGCTGGATGTGCTCTTCTGCACCTCCTCCATCGTCCACCTGTGCGCCATCAGCCTCGACAGGTATTGGTCAGTCACACAGGCGGTGGAGTACAACCTCAAACGGACCCCCCGGCGGATCAAGGCCATCATCCTCACTGTCTGGCTCATTTCAGCTGTCATCTCCTTCCCACCATTGATCTCCATGTACCGGGACCCTGAAGAAGATGGCTTTCCCCAGTGCAAGCTCAATGATGAGACATGGTACATCCTTTCTTCTTGTATTGGCTCTTTCTTTGCCCCCTGCCTCATCATGGTGTTGGTCTATATCCGTATCTACCGCGTGGCCAAGCTAAGGACCAGGACCCTCTCTGAGAAGCGTACGATGCCAGAGGGGTCCTCCCAGACTGAGAATGGCTTGAGCCGTGCTGCTGGTGGCTGCACATCCCTGAGGATGCAGCTGGGAGAGAATGGACATTATTCAGTGCACCACTGGCGCAAAGCCTCTGAGCTGGAGGACATTGAGCTGGAGGAGAGCAGCACCTCAGAGAGCAGACGGAGGCGGAGCCGGGAGGAGCATCCCCGCAAAAGCAGCAAGAGCCAGTCCTTCTCCTACTCGTATTCCTCCAAGCATTCTAGCCGTCTGTCCCGCTCTAGCAATCGCTCCATGCAGTTCTTCTCATATCGCCGTCGCCGGAAGCGTAGCAGCATCTGCCGTAAGAAAGTCACCCAGGCCCGGGAGAAACGCTTCACTTTTGTGCTGGCCGTGGTCATGGGGGTCTTTGTAGTTTGCTGGTTCCCTTTCTTCTTCAGCTACAGCCTCTATGGTATTTGCCGGGAGGCATGTGAGGTCCCTGAGACTCTCTTCAAGTTCTTCTTCTGGATTGGGTATTGCAATAGCTCCCTCAACCCAGTTATCTACACCATCTTCAACCAGGACTTCCGCAGGTCCTTTAAACACATTCTCTTTAAGAAGAAGAAGAAGAACTTCCGGCATTGAGCTGGAGGGATGGATTTGCCTTGAGCAGGAGTAGAGTTAAAAGAGAAGGAGAAGGCTCTATGCTGAAAAAGAAGGGAGGAAAGAGAACATGGGGTTTGGGCTTAGAGAGAAGGAAGAGGGCTTGCCCCCTCAGTGGAGCAGAGTGATGCTGTGGGGCACGGGGATAGTGTTGGGGAGGCTGAGGGCATTCACTGTGGTACAGAATGGCGACATGGTGCTGGAGGAGCGGTGCTGGAGTGCAGATGGGTAAATGGGGAGGGGAGTGATTGTCTTTGAACCCTGAGGGAGCGCATGGGGAGTCCGCGGAGGAAAATAGGCTAAGACACTGAGTTTGGGAGGCAGTGAGCTTTTATGGGCTCTGGAATTTTGTGGGAAAATAAGCAGAGACATCAAGAGGAAAGGATTAAGTGGCAGTGGTGGTGGAGATTTGAGTGTTTATAAATAGAGCAGCTGGGGCCTGTGGTGGGCTCGTCCCAGTAAGAAATTGGCTTTCACTGCTTATGTGGGGAAAGAAAGTGCAAAGTACCAGGCACTGACAGTCTTTTGAGTTACGAAAGGATTTAAATGTTTGCCAAAAAAAACCCTAAAGAACAATCCAAACTCTTTTCTAAATAAACCTTTGTACTGTTAAAACCTTCTGAATGATGATTTTACACAGGACTTAAGTCAAACAGAAAGCATGGCGTTTTCTTTTTCTTTCAAGGGGTCTCTGCATATAGAGCTGGATGGGAAACATTTTTCCTATCTTCCCTTAATTTCTGATTTGTTAGTGGGACAAACCTGGGAGTCCCGCATGTTTTCATGAAATACGAAAAAGAGCACGTGCACCCCATGAGCTTATTTCCCCCTGTTGGATCGCCAGGCAGTAAATTCCTGCTCCGTCCCTCTCAGATCAGTGGCCTGAGCACCTTGCTGTCCTGGAACAGGTAGTGAAAAAAAAATCATTTTGTTGAACTCACCTAACATTTTCTGAGTTGAAAAAAATACCAAATTTCCAACCAGCTCAACTTGCATGTGCCCTGGGGAAATTTATCCCCCCTCTTTTTAGGTCCCCCTCAAAAGGCTTATCTCAGGGGCTGGATGCGTGCTGCTCTCATTCTCAGGCAGGCAGTTGGATGCAGTCTGCTATGCAGATTTTCAGAGGAAGAGCAATCACCGCACCACTAAGGTCTTTAAATCCTTTGTATTTACAGCAACTAAATCCTTTATTTTTTTAATGAGAAGCATACATTGCAGATTGTCAGTGGTGTATGTGAACAAATCTCAAAAGAAGCTGCAGTTGTTCCAAACTTTTAATATTAATGTTGCTTTCTTTCCCTTTTCCTGTTTGCATTTCTAGTTTATGATTTCAGAGGATTTTATTGGGGGGGGGAGGGGGGAAGAGGGGAGAAGAGTTTGAGTAGTTATTAAAGCAAACTGTATTTCCCACGGGTTTATAAAATGTCATAAACTGTAATGAAGAGAATGAGAGACAGGGACTGCTGTCTGTACATTCGCCACTGAATGCATACCTAGTGTAAGACTCAGCTGAGCATTTACATCCCTTCTCCAGCTGTGCTGCTGCAAGGTGTGTATTCTGTTTGCGGGCTAAATACTGCTCCATTTTATGTGTATCGCTCCTTCCATAGGTAGCAGGATTTGGCATCTGCCTCAAATGAACCTTTCCATAGTAAACAGCTCTTTGGAAAATAGAACAAAATCTATTCTTACACGGCAGGCTTCTTGAAACAGCTAAATTGAATCTATACCTGAAAATCATTAAATATTCCCTTCCTCTGTTCTGTCTGAAAGGTGTCTATAGCCTCTCTTCTCTTGAAATCTCTATGGCGTGAGGAGGAATGATAAAGCAGTCACTTGTTTCATCAGTTTTTCATAATAAGCTTTTGGTTCACTTAACCCTGGAAAAGGAGGTTGTTGGTGGCTAAGATTCTGGTGGTAATGCAATAGACAATTTAACTTCAGGGCCAACTCAAGTGGGAGTTCTGCCAAAGTAAGGATTAGATGATTGCACCAAATGCATTAGAAGTTTGCTTGATTTCACTAAAGATACAACTAAGACATTTTCAAAGTCTTAAGTTGTAACTTATTGGATCCTTTCTTGAAATAAGGCTTGGAGTTGTGAAAAGATTTGAGCTTTGTTTAAACATTTGCACTTAAAGAAAGGATGTTAAGACTTATTTTCAGGAGGATCCCTTTGTAAATAAAAGTGGTTTGGTACAAGTACGTTCCTGAGACAGATAAATATGAGAAAAAATAGCAACTGAGAGGAGGAAATTACAAGCCATTTTCTCTTTTGCAAAATGGAGAATTCTTTTTAAAGTTGTATCAATAAAAGCTGAAACAAGATGATATTATTTGTAGGTAACGATGTAGCTAAAAAGTTCAGGTTTGTTTAATCTGAAGAAACTATATAATTGCCAGAGCAACCAAAGCAATATATGGTACATAGCTACTACCTCTGAGCTACTGGACGGCTTCATTAGAGATACCCATTCCTACCAAGATAAAGGTCTGCTTTTGTCACTTAATGCTTGTTTTTGAGTGGTTTCCCAGTCTGCAGACACACAGCAGTTTCACTGTTGCGTTGCTTTTGAAATGAGATTTGTTGCCTGTAAACACAATCCTTCCCCTTTGTTTTTCCTTGTAGAATTCAAGGAGTCTATGGAAATGAAATTTAATTGATGGTCAGATTTTAGTGAAAATGAAGTATATATGGAATGACTGATGTGCCTTAAAAGTAATTTCTTCACTATAAAATTATTCTGTGGTCATTATAAACATAAAGGAAATAATGCTTCTATTATTGTTTTGCATTTCCAAATGTCTAAAAGGGATTGATGCAGATACTGAACATCTATGTGCAGCAGCATACTTAAAAACACAGCATTTTCTGTGGTTTTAATTTATTTCTCATCACAGTTACTCATCTGATTCAATGCCTCAAGAGGATCTTATTTCTTCTGAGCTAGATAAAAAGTAATATTCATCAATAAAGATGTGCAGTGTACACCCCTTTTAAGTGCATTTCCCTTTAAATTAGTGAATATAGAGGATTTCTATAAAAATTGTTTTTAATGTAACTACTGAATATGCTTCAAGGAAGTAAAATGGGGCTGATTTATTTTTTTAATTACAGTGTTCTCTTATACTTGTAATAGCTGAAGACTGGAATTTGTTTGTAACATATTGTGTGGTGTTAACTTTTCATAAAAAGTTACAGCTCTGCTACTCACACTGTGGTTGTGCTTCCACTGTAAGTTGGCTAATAGCATATACAGGAAAAAAATAGTCAATGCAGCTTTTGCTTAAGAAAAAGGGAAACAATATTTTATGTTTCGAATGTGTCCAGTTGTGTCTTTGATCAATCTGATGAGCTCGTTGAAACACTCTTTACTGTTGTGGAAGAATGAAATGTTACTGTGAAGCCATATTGATTTTAACAACAAGCACCTGATCTTTAACTGTTCATTTTCTCATTTCACCATGAAGAAAAATTTCTGTCAGTCTAAAATGAGAAGTTAATGTTTTATTTTTGAAACCAATTTTCTGAACAGTACCACTATTGGTTGGTTATTGAAATATCGAACAGTACAACTTTGCTAGGATGGGAATTCAGTGCTGCTGTCCTTCAGCCCTCTTCTGTGGGAGTTTTGCATGAGTGAGAACCACAGAATCAGCCTCTTCAGGGCTTGGGACAGATGGAAGGAGCCTTATATATAGGAGATTTGACAGGATCACAGCTTTAAATCATTGTCTAAAGTAAGAATCAGGCCCTTGTTGTTCTGTCTGCTCTCTGTTCAGAAGAGCCATGTTGTTCCAAGAGCACTGGCAATTTCTGAGAAGTAGACCTGAGATGGTTGTGAGCAGCTTTGCTCGCATTCAGCTGTATCACCCTTTGTGAGTAAACCCAGAAAACTTCAGTGGAGTTTACTTGTGAGTGAAGGAACTACTCAGTGTGGGCAAGGTTGTTAGGAGCTTCCTTAGACATTGCCTCTTTTTCAGTAAATGTGCCTGAGGAATGTAAGCAAACATTTATGCGTAAATGTACAAGAACTGAAAGAAAGGAGTCCTCTCTGCTTAACTTTGACTGCTGTTCAAACCCATAGAAGGTGTGGCTCAAGGGGTTTTTGACGATATAACCAGAGCAACAAACCCTGCTGTATATTTTCAGTACAAGCTGCGTGAAGAGCATTATCTGACTGCATCTGTTTTTTGGAGAAGAAAGCTGTTGGTCTCTTTCTTGCTCTATGGAAGTTGGTATTGGTTAGAACAGCATCTGAGAAGTGAAAGGATTTTGTAGGAAATGTCAGCAACAACATGCAGTTCAGGAGAATGTTCTAACCTTAAACTATGACTACAGTCAAGAAGGAGAGAATACCTACAAGCTGTGCAAAATGAAGGCCAGGTGCTATCTGTGAGTTTGTTTTCATGCTTGCTCATTGTGACCTTGTTGGTGCGCAGAAGGCAACTAGATGCTTCAGAGAAAAAGCTCTGATTTGGAGGGGCGATGGTACATGCGGAAATGACTACCCACAACACTGGAGGAATTAATATTTACTTACCTTCGTTGCACTGTAGACAAGTACAGTGCAGGAATTTGCCTTTTTCATTGCATGATAGCAAATGTTAATTTGCCTTCCAGATCTATGGGTCAACTAGGCCATACAAAAGATGACACAGGAGAAGGCAGGGATAAGGGATTGCTCACTTCAGTGTTCAACACTAAGATTAAGTTTGTCCTTTTTCCTTGAAATTAAGCCAAAAATACAGTTTAATACTTGGACCCAAAAGGCCATGTAGCATTATTGATGCTACACTGAATATAGACTAGTTTTGGCAAAAAGCATCAGTTCGTATTATACACCCTGCACATCTCAGTTTCAGGACAAAAATGGGAGAGTCTGACACTTAAGGCATGTGAGAAAGGAGTAATCAGCAGTTTGAAGGGTCATGGGTGAATTGTGAAATTGCCCTAGATCCCATTCTGATAACTGAGCTGG